AGTACATCGATGATTTTATATACGCCGTACAAAAAGGTACATATTTACTTCAAATGAGCTCACAGATTATAAATAACACAGATTGTAAAGAATAAAAAAATTCGCAATCAGTCAATTTACAATATATGTATATACTTACGCATTACGAATTCAACTCATGGGCTCTTCAGGTACATCTAAAAAACAAACATTTTCCAAAACGACAAAATACTAGTTGAACCTATATACGTCTTATAAATGCTCTAAGTGAGGGTTGATGTTGCTCGCTACCGTAGGTTTACCCTCGAGATCCTACAAGTGACGCCTGCGTGGTGCTAAAAAGCATGACTACTGGTGATAGGCTTCGGCCGTGGCTAGTCACCACTTCTACTTGTCTACAGTTATCTGTGGTCACCACCCTCCCGACGCAGTCGAGTCGCCAACCATTACCACCCTGAAATCAACAAACCGCAACTGCTGTTCCTCAGAGAGACGCAGATCATGTCCGACTGACGCAGCGTACCTCAGCTACCCCGGGTATACTCAGGAGCACAGGTTCGTACCTCGTGCCGGAGTCTGTGTGACGTTCGCGATGACATCTATTCTGTGACAAGCGTCTCAAGAACCTTGATGCACCGAGTTTTTCTGTTTTATGGTTTCTGGTTGACACAGGAGTTACACAAATAGTGTCTACCGCTCGCACAGTGGAGATCAGGAGACGACCAAGTTGTTCCAACGTCTGAGTGAGACGTCTGATGAGGCTCAGCTCAGTTACCAAGCGGCGCAACTAGTCATCCCTTTGAGCTGACTCCGACTTTTCGTGATATATCCATACCGATAGCCGACTGTCTCCAGCTACTTGGAATGGACCTGTCGTCCAATTTGAACTTCGGCAGATACATTGAATCCGTGGCCAAAAATGCAGCAAGCTTGGGATCCTTTCCAGGGTGAGGCGTTACTTTACACCGGGATAGCTGCTTCAGCTGTACCAAGCACAAGTCCGGTCGTGCATGGAGTACTGCTGCCACCTTTTGGGATAGCTCTGCTACATATCAACTGGCCACTTTGGATTCAATTGACAACCGTGCCAAGAGACTTATAGGTGACTCGGAATTAGTGGAGGCGAAGCTGCAGAGTCTTGAACACCGCCGTAAAATTGCCTGCTTATCGGTATTTTACAGGATATGTCACGGAAAGTGTACAAAGGAATTACACGATTTAATTCCGCCTTCCACCCCTACGCTGTGGATATTCCAAAGATTAGCACGAAGCGTTACGATTCCACATTTATATGGCGAACGGCTATGGAGTGGAATTCCCTACCTGCAGACTTGTTCCCTGAACGTTATAATTTAGGTCTTTTCAAGGCAAGAGTGAATAGGCATTATTTAGGTGCATGCTGCATCGTCGACCTCATCGCTACTTTCCATCAGGTGAGATGGAGGTCAAATGCGCACTTATATTTTATAAAAAAAAAGTACTTACGTTGCAATGCCATTGAAAGTATGTCCTGTTTTTTTGAAAAAGTATCTTGAAGAACCGCCTTTTCGAGTGTGGACATATTATTTGTTAAAACAACTGGCGCACATTGATATTTTAAAACGGTTCTAATACTTCAGAAAGTTGCGAATGCGGGCACAGCAAATACCCAGGCGCTAGCCCATGTAGCGCCCGAGTGCAATTGATATACCTTGGCGCTCTCTAGCTGGAATGGGATAGAAATGAAATACAGCTTACTTACTGCCAATGGATGGCGGTGCTCGGTGCCCACTAGACTCTGCACCTGTGTGCACAACATACATTGCACTGACAGCAACTCAGGAACGTTTTAAATAGCAATCCGATGAATAACAAATGGACGCAACGGACAAACTTTGACTTTGACATTTCCCACTACCCCAGCGCATACGCCTGAACGCACCGGGGTAACGGCAAACTATGGTGCATAACCGGTGGATTCCATCCCATCTATTCCTCCCACCACGGTCACCACGGTATCCTCTAATGTGTTCTTGAATACTGCAGGGAGATGCGCTCCGACGTCGGCAGCCTTATTTGCAATGTAACATCCGTCTCAATCTCCGTTAGCGCATAAGCCAGGGATACAGTTGTGACTGCCTTAGACCAATGCTCTAAGTGACCTGCCATATACCAGGGAAGGAAGAAGGGCGCATTATTTATTAAATTTGGGTATTTTACAAGTTAACAAGTAGACAATTTGAATATTCCACTTAAAGAATTATATGTATACAGAATGTAAAGGAAATTATACATTAACACAATTTGACTGAGGCTCAAAAAACGGATCGCGTCACTTGGTGCAATGCTATGCTTTCCAGATTCAACGAAGGGGCGTCAAATTTGATGTGGGACATAGTAACAAGTGACGAAACATAGTTTGCCACACGTAGTGATATTAGCTAGAACTCGAAACTACATACGGTGTGCCGTTCGCATAAAAACCATAAACACAAAATCACAAATACTACAACATCTCTGTAAACATACGAATACCACTTCATATTATGCGATTCCGAGCTCTCGCTAATATGACTGTACCTGATGTTTGGTAGAATTTTCAGGCTTTGATTTTTTAAATTAATAACTTCATTCAAAGGAATTTTATCCTATCAATATGTCAACTCGTTGAGTTCATTATCCTTTTATCACCAAAATGGTGTATGTTTTGCGCCAAAAAATAGTGTGTGTATAGCTGCTTTACAATACTTTAAGGGTCGTATTCCAGAACTCTACTCAAGGCTCAAGTCAGAACTTGCGTATGATTTCAAGCACTGGAAATACGATCCTAATGGCAAGGACTTGAGTATGGTTTCTAGTGCTATAAATCATACTCAAGTCCTGACTTGAGCATTGAGTAGGGTTCTGGAATACGACCATAAGAGTGGTTACACTCGGCGATACTTAGCAGAGATGCATTGCGCGGTACGCTTGCGATTTATAGGCGAATGCAATCGCTTAAAAATCACAAGTGTAGCGATGCAATCGCGCGTTTGTATTGATAAAAGTCGCCGTCTTTCCCTCCAAGGTTTAGTAGAAGACTTCACATTTGTTATTAAGCAAAGTTAACTTGAAAGAACTGAGCAGTCGAAGAAAAACAATTGTAAAATTCGGTTTGTGTGACACGTTTCGCATTTGTTTTATCATTACTATTAAAACCTGGAATACTATATTTTGCAAATGCGCTTCGTACATACCAGTCAGTGTAAGCACACATAAAAACTAGGACAATCCAATACTGTCCCCTGATATCTCATAAAAGGTTATTGACACCGATATGAATAGATAGAGTTGCGCTAATTTGGATTTAAAAAACTTGGGTTTGTTTTTAATGTAGTGTTATGGACTATTCACATAAAGTTATGAAGTAAAAAATATGCCAAATAGTTTGTTGCCAAAAGCCATGGCAGTTTAATGGTTTGTCCTTCCGCCTCTCGAGAAGATGATCGTGAGTTCGAATCTCGGCTCGCACCTCTGTGTTTCTCGGAATTTATGTGCGAAATTTAATTTCAAATTCACCACGAGCTTTTTGATGAAGGAAAATATTATGATCAAAACCTGCATCTCGAAGAAACCCTCGGAAAAGGTGTGGAGTTCGCAATCCGCAATGGGCCTGCGTGATGGACAGGTGGCCTAAGGAGACCCGAGCCCAGCAGTGAGACGTATAAATGGGTTGATGATGATGATGATTTTGTTGCTGTACCCTTTCCGTTACACCCTGTATAATTAAAAAAAAATCTTTATTACATTAGAGACATGGTGCGATCATCTTTATTTTCAGTTACTTCGTTAGTCACTTTGTCCTTCAAATACACCGCTTGTCAACTTTATGTAACTTTTAATTTGACCTATGACGTGAAATTCGGTTTCGTTTTGTGTGGGTCTTCACGTCTTTTTAGGCACTTCATGTACATTAGGTACTTTTCTATTATTATTGTCATTTTAATTACTGGTACGGCCTATATGAGTAAACGTGTATAAATATATAATAAATAATAAAAAAAAGTACAAAATAAATAATAATGTAACGGCTGACAAAATAAATAACGGTCATTTATGATAGGTATATAATGTTATCAAAATAATAAGCTTTTCTTTAAACAATCTTGTATGAGTTTTAATGATCAAAGATGTCTTCTACCTATGTGTACCGATCCGAGAGATATGGTATCCCGGAGAGCAAGTCCAGGGTACAGAGGGCGTCCGGGCCAAGCCTTCCGTCAATGATACGCCTTCACGGGCCTCTCTGTTGGACTCGGACTTGGGTAGTGTGGTGTCTAGCCCTTTGAGGATAAAAATGCAAGGTGGCCCGAGTTATGTGTATTTATTTCTCTAGTGAGTTTAATTGTAATTTGTAGTTGTCTATGTGTGTCCATGGCAACCGCGACACAGGGTTTCCCTCACGTTTCCCTAGCGTGGAGCTACGAGTATGTGCGTCATTGTTGTTATTCAATATCTGGAGTTCATAACGACATGTCTCATTTAACATTAGGGTGAATTTCGAGTAAAAAATATGGAGCGATGAACACATTAAGAATCTCGTTAACCCCCTTGAACTCTTGATATGCTGCAAAACTTTAAAAAAATACTGACCAAAATATCGATTTTTCGCTTCGCTTTTTCAAGGTTTTTCGATTAACGCTATGTTGAATGAAAACATAATATTTATATGAGAACGCAACAAAATCACTCGGGGCTTATAAAATGTCACGTTTCTTTGTATAGTCAACACCTTAGACGCACTTCGCGCCATCTCTATTTGTCATAATGGCATAAAATTTAATCTAACGATGTCGGTTTTTTCCCAACAATTACTTTAGGCCCAGACGTTATTTATTATTTTAAAAATAAAAAAATATTTATTTTATTGAGTAGATAGTAATTTAAATTCCGAATTTTTACTTCGCTTTTATTGCAATAACTCGGATTTGCTTTCCAAATTCAGGTTCAGTAGAAAATAAATTTAGGAAATATTTTACACTTAGTTTATTTAAAATTGTGCATTTTACAATTATTTTGTAACCATTTCGTCCTTAATAAATAATAGATTATTGCGATTCATAAGAATACTGTGATGCTTTGTGATCAACGGCTTGGTTAACAAACCAACAATATGCTTATATTAAATTAAAATAATTCACTATTATGGCAATTCCTATAATGAAAAGTATTTAGGTATTACGAATAACTTACTTAAAATTTAAAAATAAACTAAAACACTTTACAAGGTGGCGCGACTAAAGTAAAATATTGTGTGAAGTTTTAAAATACAAATTGCAACACAGAAACTACACATAAATAATACTGCATTTTAAAAATTAATAAATTAAGACATTAAAAACAAATTAGGTACTTATTAAGTTTTCAAGGGGTAGGTTGGACCCTTTCAGTCTTAAAACTACCCTTGAACACATATATAATTTTTTTCATGTACATTGAATATAAAATAAAACATTCTCATAGAATTTGACATACAATAGGCAAACTCAAACATTAATATGGTTTCAACTCGTGTAAATGAGATTTCACGCCAGTCACAACATGGTACTTGGTGTAATGGGCTGGTGTCCGCAACTCGGCCTCAAGGCGCCTATTTTGCGTGGGCCAGTCACAACTTTCCTCTAAATCTTCAGCATTTAATTGCTATAATCATCATTGATGTGCGGTGTTCTAGTTAAAGTATGGTGGTCATCAGGCACAGGCTACAACCAGAGGATATAAAAACTGTCGAAGCCAAGAAAGTCCTTCAGTTCTTGTGTGCTGTCGGCCTTGGCTCTGTACTGTAATTAGTGGTGATCACAATTGATAAGTTGATGGTTGCAGTGATGAGGGGCTGCATAGGCACCGAATGAAGCCACCCTAATAATAATAATGGTAGTCAGCAGACTAATTGCTATGTATCAGGATTTTCTTGTTTAATCACTTTTTTCTTTCCTCGTTTGCCAGGTATCATGATTTTGCTCTTCCACTCTTCCATTCCTTGCGTATCAACTTGAAATATCTGACCTGTTAAGGGGTTAATTGGAAAAACACCTTCTGGAGTAATTTTCTTCTTAGACGTGTCTAAATTATGCCGTCTCTTCATGTGTTTGTTATAATTCGACCAATTAGAAAACTCCATGCCGCAAGCTTCGCAACTATAAGGCTTAGCACCAGTATGCTGACGTTCATGGTTCTTTAAAATTTGTTTAAATCTGAACGCTTTACTACAATACTGACAGACGTAAGGCATGTTATCAGTATGTATAATTTTATGTGCATTCAACTGATATTGTAGTCTGAAACATCGTCCACACACTTCGCAAGAAAACGGTTTTACACCTGTATGCATTTCCACATGTCGTCTTAACATATTTGGGTATAGGAATGATTTGTTACATATCCTACAAGTGTGAGGACGTATTTGATCATGTGTCATAATGTGTGATGTCAATGTACCTTTATTGAAAAATGTTTTACCACAGCGGTCACAAGTGTAATTCCTTTTACGGTCCGATTTGTGTCTTTTTATGTGATCTCGAAGACTGTTAGGATTCTTGTAGACGTTTTTACAAATGTGACATGTTAAATCTTCTACTGTTATTGGCGTCCCTGGTTTTCGTCTAGGTTTTCGTTTTCGTTTCTGTGTGAAATACATTTCCGTGTGTTGTTGTAGTTCTTCTTTATTTGGTAATATTTCTCCACATGCTCGACACTGTGTTGTCATTTCTTTGAAGTGTTCTTTAATATGTGTTTTCATGTTATGCGTATCTGTTTGTAAGTCAACTTTTTCATCGCAATATTGACAGTAACTCCTGAAATTTCATATGAAAAATTATCATTTTAAAAAAGCAGAAAGTGTACAGGACACTTTAAAATAATAAGCAAAAATGCATATTGTCTACTTAAAGGTAAAATCACATAAGTGACATTTTCCACAAAAAACCCCAAATTAGGTACCTGTTGTAAGAAAATCACCATCTTTCGGCAGATAAATCTCTTATTAATTTTATAGCTTTTTTATTGAGTTTTGTTATTGAGTTTCACCTGCAGAAAGATAGTGTTTTTCTTACTTACCTACCTAGCTATATAAATAAGAGTTTTTGTGGAAAATGTAATTTATGTGGTTTTACCTTTGAACAGACATATGCACATTATAAGGAAATGTAAATATTTAACATAATTTGTGTTACACTATCTTCATTCTACAACAATAAAATTTATTATCTAATCTGATACTCACTTTAAATTCTTTTTATGTTTTCGTACATGTCTAATAAACCAATTAAAGTCATCTTTCTTCATGGTGTCTGTGCAATCCGCACAAGAGAATGCTGAACATTTTCCATGTGATGTTTTAGCATGCGCTCTCAACAAATCCACATCTGGAAAGCCTGTGTTGCAGTACGAACACAGCCAGGAAAACTGTTTCCACGATGATATCTTATGGTCATTTATTTCATTACCATAGTCTGCCACAATTTGAACATTCGGACTGAACGATCTATTCAATGCTGCTCCAAGTAAATCCTGCACATTCAACGCTTGTTCAAAGGTTTCTGAAGAGTGTTGGAGACTTGTAGTCTCAGATAGTTCTTCTTTTGGTTCTAATTTGATATCAGCACTGTAGTTTGTAGCACTGCGGCTGTCAGACGATACGTGTTCTTGTTTGATATTAGAAGCATGTTCAGGTACTGTGTCACATCCCAAATAATCGTCAAATGCGCCTCTGTCGTCGTCTGATAAATCGTATTTTGTACTTTCGTGTGATGAGAAAATGGTTGATAAAACATCTTGTGATTTCTTCACTCGATCCAGAAACTCGTAAGCTTTGTTTAAAGAGTCAAAGCAGATGAAACAAACCGTTTTTGGAAGGCTATCTCTTGAACAAATATCTACGTAGATTGCGTTTAAAAAAGCAAGCTTTAACACCACTTCATTGCGTTTGTTAGAGTCTAGTTCAAGGCTTAATAATTTGTCCGCGCTTTTAGGCTCAGCACAGAAGCGGCAGTAAGCGTTTTCCATCGTGTTAACTCATTTACATCGTAAAAATAATAAATTATAAATAAAACTTTTTGCTTTCCTCTGACTTCTTCCAGCAAAACCAAACAATTGATTTGATTTTTTAATTTTTGTTGACGTTCGCAACAGATTATATTTTTTTTCTTATTTCTTGGCACTACGGGGCGTTCAAGTTTTGGCCATATGATTCGAAAGGTATAAAATTTATTGTAACAGTGAAATTTACGAATAAGGAATATAAAAAGTGACACAAATATTTGGTTTTCCATCGGTGCCTGGCCCTTAGCAAAATCAAAAATTGAGTTAACTTTAATACAACTATAGTATTAAGTATTGGGTCATGGAAAAAAGTTCCGTTTTGAAAAAATCAGATTTTTCAGAAAAGTAAATAATTTTACTTAGATGATGAAAGGAAAAAAATCGTTTCCATAGTCTAAGATTTTTCCGAATTTTTTTTCCACTATTTTCCACATTTGACGTTGACACCTGTCAAAAGTAGAACGAAAACGCTACTGAACGAACACGATGGAGCCCAAAGGTTTTTTGCTGTTGTAAAATAATTTTTAACCGACTTCAAAAAAAAAGGAGGAGGTTCTCAATTCGTCTGTATGTTTTTTTTTGTATGTATGTTACGCGATAACTCCGCCATAGTGTGAACCGATATTGATGATTTTTTTTTGTCGGGAAGAGGGTACCTCAGAAGAGGTCCCATTGAAATTTTCTACCTCTACGGGTGGTAAACTAGGATGAATGACTTTTGAAGTCGGTTTTTTTAACCGGAGATTAGGTTATAAATCTTGCATTTCGGTGACTTTTAGTTAAACAAGTTTATTTTATAATTCACACAAAATAAAACTTCAAAAGAACGTAGAAGAATCGTAGAACATAGGTAATATAAGCATGCGAAAAAATATTTTTCCCATTTTTCGAGAATTATTCCGGAAAATTTCCACTATTTGAAAATTTTCGGAAAATTAATTAATTATATCAAAGACACAATTTAGTTTCTATGTTACATTACATTTTACAATGAATCGTATAGATCAATCTTGGATATTCATGGCATAAAAACGTTATAGTTATTTCATCGCAATGATATGACGACTAAATGTGGTGAAAATGTATTCGAAATTCTTTATTATTATTATTGATTCCCAAAAAACATTTACCAAATCCAACATTTCTCGAGATTCCACCAAATTAATTTTCAATTTCAATTCAATCAATCGATTACGAATTCTTTTTTTAAATCTTCTCTCATTCGATTCGAGTTTGACATATGATGTATGACGTCTGTATTGGTGTCATTGATGATAAAAATTGTTTTTATTTAATAAAATGTTATTTGTTTTGCAATTTATTAAGTATATTGTCGTTAATATTATTTCAAATATGGTTTCAATTTGAAATATTAGTATAATAGCAGCCATTTCGTTATCATAATCGAACGAATATTACGATAAATGTGTGAAAAGGTGTGAAATATAAAACCAAAGTGTTCCGAGGTTTGGTCTTTATTTTAAAGAAAATTGGTAACAAAATGGGCGATCCGCTAGTAGACGTGAGTAAAGCAAAACTTACGCATTGCCGAATGTGCGCCAAGCAGAAGAACTATGCAGAATTGTTAGATCTAACTGCGGACGTAAAAACGTTTGAAGAATATATCGATATTGTGGATTTCTTACAACTCGATTTTCTAGACTTATCCAATGAAACTTTGCCGAAAACAACGTGTGAAAAATGCTACGACACCTTTCAAGAAGCATATAAATCCTTTAAAAAGTTGAGTGAAAGTCAGCAAGTCTTAAGAAACTTGTACAACGTTAATGTTGATGTTAATGTAAAAATTGAACCGACTGAGCGAAGTACAAATTCCGATCATGAGAATAATAGCATTGGAAATAAAGGACTACCCGAAGCTTCAAATAACATGGTCAACGCCCAATCAAATGCAGATGAAATTGGTCCCGAATCATCAGAAAGCACATCTGGACTTCAAATTGATCCACTATCTATAACACATTGCAGATTCTGTGCAAAACAGCACAGCAAAACAGATTTATATAACTTATTACAGGATAAAACTAAATGCGATGAGTGTATAACAATGTTACATTTTTTTAAACGTAACATCAACTTTATAAATTCAAAACTGCCAAACAATTCTTGTCAAACTTGTTTCAGTGCTTTGCAAAAAGCCTATAACTATTTTAAATCTGTAAAACGAAACCAAATGATACTTAATAATATATACAATATGAAATTGGAGAATTTGTTAAAGATTAAAATTGAACCACATACTGGTGATGAGTACTCAGAGAATGACACACCTTTGTCACTTTGTAATATAATGGTATTAAACAATGATACATGGCTAACATATCCATGGGTTTGCAAATTCTGTCAGGTTGTATTTGCAAAGATTGAGGACCTGCGGTCACACGGCAAGGAACAGCATAACATGTGCCATGCATTCATTTGTGTGGATTGTAAACAGACCTTTGAGACTTTTGACAAATTTGTTGAACATATTCGAATTCATAGGAATATGCTTAGGTTTGTATTTTGAAGATTTTAAAATTAAAATATGAATTAGGGACTGGGCGCCACTATCAACACACATCTGCAACACCTGCATGGAATGTAGAGTGGTTCTTAATTCTTAATCATACAGAAAGTTTCATATACCTGGAATGAAGATATTTTTTTGAAATTTCAGCCTCTACTGTCAATTCTGTAATGCCGCATTTGAAACTTCGGACAAATGCTTCACCCACACACAGTCTCATTATGCCAGCACTCAGAAAATCTGCAACTTATGTGGAGAAATATTCCCCTTCCAGAACAGTTTGGAGTATCATCAGGAGTTGTATGGGAAGAAGGTGCAGGAAGCCAGTGGGGGTGGGGACAAAAGTTGGACCTCCTATGATTGGAGTTGCCTAGTAAGTTACCATTGTAGTCTTAATAAATATGCCAGTTAGGAGGAGAGAAATATATGGTGTAATAATATACCAAAGTTAAATAACTTGTTGGAAAATCATTTTACAATGTGAGGCATTTGATGTTAATTTTTTATTTAACATGATTGTCATTTTAAAGAAATCTAATTTGACTTTGTATTTATTTATTATTGTTACCTTCCTTTTCATTAATGACTTGGTAATATTGTGTACTATGGTCCTACCTCTTATTTGTATTTGGTTACAGTTTTTTCCTTCAGACACAATCACAGGTTGTTACTGAAATAAATAAATAGATAATAAATAAAGATGCATCACAATTCTCTGCACTTACAAAAGCAGATTATCTAAACCCGGAACGCTCAGAAATAGGTTAGGGATGGTTACCGACTAGGTTTTACTGCGAATCAAATTTGGGAACAGCAATGCGACGTCGCGATAAAATTTACGAGTTTTTGTTGGCGTTTTCGGTTTTTCAACTTTCTTTAATGGTCTTTACTGTTTATTACAGTCTATTACGTATATCGACCCCTCCAACGTAAAGTATCGTAATGTCGAAATTGCCAAGTTTACAGGGAAGCGTTTTAAAGTTCTGAATTCACTGAAACGAACATTACACGTGATTTTAGCATTTCTCAGTTTTATTCGGCAAAGCTCATTACTCACATAGAGTATTATAAAATCCTAGATATCGGTTAGATGATCTATGGTGATCACTCTTTTAGTGAATTCAGAACTTTAAAACGCTCCCCTGTAAACTTGGCAATTTCGACATACGATACTTTACTTAGGAGGGGTCGAATTACATTTGTAATATCCTATAATACTAATAACATCAAATTAGCATTGGTTGTACCCTCTGATTATTCTGAGACTGGAAGATACCTAACAATTTGGATGCGCGTTGTTCCGTGTCTTTTGTTTTATTTCTATTGTATTTTTAGGAATGTCCAACCCGGTTCCCGGAACTATCATCTCTGCGCACGCACATCCAATTTGTACACGAAAAATGTTTTGCTATGAAATGCATGGACTGCTCGAAAGATACAAAAAATTTCAAACTGTTTGTTGCTCATGTCACTATGCACAGGTCTTATTTGAAGTGAGTATGCCCTTAGTATAACTACATTTAGATAATTATTTCTTCTACAAAATGATAAAAGTTTTACTAAAACAATTTGCAACAAGATTGGCACTTGAGTGTGCTGGAAATACGGTTTGTATTTGCTACATTTGGAACAGACTTCCAATCCATTATTCCAGAAAAATAAACAAATCAATTCATTAAATTAATGAATCGATTTGTAGTCGGCAGTACGGTTGGTCATCACTAAACTGTCTATGGTCGGGTCAACGATCTGTTTGTTTACTTTTCTGTAACGACACGTACATTCCGATAGCCGAAAATTCGGTCTGATTAAGGCCAGGGGCGCCCATTTTTTTTGGGATAATAAATGATGGGACGAACAAGTCGTTAGCCTGATGGTAAGCGACACGCCTGTCCATAACAGTTGCAGAGCCACTCAGAGCTTCAAATCGCAAAGATCTCAGGGGCATTGCTTCTGCGCTCGTTACCCTGAGACAAAGTTGACAACATGTATGTGTCTGTAATTTCACTCATTTGATCTCAATTTTATTTTGATTTGGAAATCATAAGTATTTGGTTGATTTTGTTAGCGTTTATTTAGTCATGAGTAAACTAAAACGGCCCATTCACTACCTGCGTGGCAGTCCGCCATATCCTGTTTATAGCCCACGTGTGGAATCTCGCAGGACGCATTGCAGGATTGCAGGACCCCGATTCGAAACTCTTCGATATTTTAACCGAATCTTTCGATTGGATATCGTTCTCGAATCGAAGGGCGCTTTCCGAGATATTCAGAACATTCGATTCGGATACGATATCGTTATCCAACAGCGTTCACGGAGTTAGTCGGTGAAATAGATTATAAGAAAAATAAAAGTCCTGTTATATACATTTTTAAGACTTTAAATGCCTAAAATATAGAAATAATATAATAATAATAATCGTTTATTTTCTCCCATCATGTACATAATATAGGTTGAAGTGATACAGATAAAAGCGAAAGGATGGGAGACAGGAGCTCAAACTAGGATAGACCTGTGCTATGCATGAATTTGCATAAATGTGCTATGAAGAAATGCATTGGTCTTGCATTAAAATAAATTAATAAAATTGAACAAAATCCAGACTTTATTTAAAATAATAAGAGATTTCCATATTACATTCCTGCTTTGTAAACAATGGAACGTTCGGTAACTTTCATTCGATAACTGTGCTCTGAAGAACGTTTGTAGCCTCTGCCGGTCGAGAAGTTCCAGTAATCGTACGGGTGTGACGTCATTTCGATTCGGTTTCGAATACCACAGTTTGACGTTCGATTCGGGTGTTGGGAATAAAAATGAAATCGAATCGGTCGACAACTGAGTTATCGTAAGGTTCTGAATCGACCTAGGATGGCTTGCACGCTGCGACTCCATTCATACTCCTGCCTTAGCGCGGCGGACGGCAAGGCGGACTGCAATGCACGATATTGAATGCCCCCTTTTAGGCAGTAGTTTTTAAGTTTAAAATAACTTATGTTACTTTTCCTTGGATATTTTAAGCGAAAAATTGCCCTTTCGCGAACTTACAGTGATGTTTAGCATTTATATTTATACAATTTATATTTACATTTATAAAAAAACCGACTTCAAAACTTCGTGGAATTACGTCTATTTACCAAGTTTGTTTGAAATCGGTTACCGGGAAGCTCTCGAAACCGGATTCATCCCCTAGCTTGCCACCTTTAGCGCCCAGTTATACGAGGAGAAAGTTTTCGCGAGGCCGCCGCGCGGCGACCGCTCAGTTACCACGCCTTCACGTACATTACACGGCGCCCTCGCGGCGACCGCGCGGTAGATTTCTTTAGAGGAATTTAAATGTTGTTGCCTAGTAAATAAAATTCAGATTCATCATTAATGTACATGAGGTCGTGGTAACTGAGCGGACGCCGCGCGGCGGCCGCGCGAAAACTTTCACCTCGTGTAACTGGGCGCTAAAGAAATCTTTGCCAGGTTCGCCCGCGTGTCCGGAACGCTCGTTTAAATTAAAACGTAAAAGCTAAACAAATAGAGCGTATTTTGCTATGACAGTCAGACGCACGCGGTCGTTGCGCGGCAGTGACGCGGACTCCGCTCATCGACCGCGCGGGATGAGCGCGATGAAAATACAAAATAACAAAAATACAGTCGAATACCTCGAAAAAAGAAAACCCCCTTTTATTTTTTTTTAAGTCTGGTAAAAAGTTATATGATAATATTTGTTGCAACTTTTAGTAATTACTATATTCGGTATTCTTTAATATTGTTGCTATCCCGCGCTCTTATCTGCATCGAACGCCATATTATCAGAAAATTGTTCAAGTCAATTTAATATAAGAACTTGTTCTTTTGCTTAAATATCTTTTATTTCACACTGTTACCCAGTTGGTTATTGTAATCAAGCAGTTAATAAAAGAGAATATGATTTTATTTTCAGAAAATACTGCCAATACTGTAATATGCGTTTCGAAGTTTCCGAAGCACTAAACCAACACATAATCCAGCATATCACAAGTCAACAACGGCCTTGCAACATGTGCGGCCAAATATTCGAAGACAACAAAAAATTGGCAAAACATAAGCGCATGTATGCAGAAGGAAAGAAGAATAAAAAACAAAGTCGAGCCAAGGGAGGTTCTAGAGAGGAAGAAGCTGATATTAAGCCTATACTGGTGCAGCCAAAGAAACGTAGACCGAGACGAAAAATATCTTTAAGCGTTGATGATCTAACTTGCAAGACTTGCTCCAAGTTTTGTGAAACAACAACTAAGCTAAAACGCCATGTAATGACGCATGATGAGTCGAGACCAAGAGATTGGGCTTGTCAGTTTTGTGGTAGTGCCTTTCTGACTAGCAGCTCTTTAAGAGATCATGTAAAGAAACATAGTGACCGTACTGAAGAATGTCAAGTATGTAACAAGAAGTTTTACACCAGACATCAGCTAAAAGCTCACATTGTGACCCATTCTGAAGAGAAGCCTTTTGTTTGCGACGAGTGCGGGGCAAATTTCAAAACAAAACGGCGTTTGAAATGTCATTTGTTCAAACATACAGATTTAAAACCATTCCAATGTTCATTTTGCTTCAAAGAGTTTAAATTCAAAGAGAATTTGAAGACTCACGAGTACCAACATACAGGCGTGAGGCCTTATTCTTGTGAATATTGTGAGCGTACTTTTACAAATTGGGCCAATTGTAATAAACACATGATAAGGAAACATGGTATTAGATTGGCTAGAACTAAAATCACTGAACATGGAAGATTGACCATAGATCGAAGAACGGGAGAGGCGTCAGCCATAGCCACAGATACGAACACTAAAGAATGGTTGACGGAAATGATGAAACCGGAAAAACCCGGAAAAAGGACTAAAAGAGGACTTTTAAAAAAATCGGCAATAAGCATGAATTGAGAAGTCGCCGAAAGCATTCTTTAAGTCACAATTTCTTTGTAAAGGTCGATAAGTTTCTCGTGGATTCTATACACAATAGTTTAGGCGTCAAATGGTCGTGTATTTTTGAACGAAATTCGTCATCAACCTATATACCTATAGTCATCAGTATCATAGTATGGTTGTACGTGAATTTGGTTCCCAAAAATGCTGCAACATTAGCAATGGTTTACACATATCAGTATAGTATTTAGCAGCGCGATACTTTGATAGTGGAAACAGACAACCTTGTAGTGTGTATACAGGTTGATTTTGAAATCATTAGCATCCGTTGAACCTATCTTACCTTTACTCCCCTAAATACATATTTTAGAGTAATTTAAATTAGCAATAGTGTAAAACCATTAATTTTAATAAACAAAGAATCAAAACGTGACGCGCACATCACTGGTTCGATTCCCATAGTTGACTGCCTCCATAGTGTAGTGATTAGAAGATAGGCTATTCTTGGCTAGTTCTGCGCAGCGATGTACCCGGCGCGTCCTGATAGCGGTGTGCATAAACATTTAACTTTTTTTTGTGAGATCGTACAGTAAAATTTATGTAACTGTTGGTTCCTGTAACGGTCTTGCCAATTACAGTGCACTACAATTCATTGCGTTCACATTTAAATTAATCGTACACTAAACAGCAATCCAAATTCGCAATTCGCGAGACTTGCACGGGAAACGCCCTGTTTTGAATTTTGAATGACGGTACGGCAACACTACCCTGTGAGCCTCGTGACGTATGCGACGGGTGATCTTTGCTTACGAACAAATGCACGTGTTCAGTCAATGTTGAAGTTCGTAGACTCGTAGGACGTATATAATTAGACGACGGCAGCGTTTGATACTTGAATATTTTAAAGGAGTTTATTTATTTTTGTTTTATTATTATTATTTTATGATTTATTCTATCACATGGTATGTGTATAAAGATTTTCTGGTTTTCATAAGTTACAATATTGACTGCTTTGATTTGCAAAAAAATTGTCTTAATGTAATTGATATCATAAGTTGGGTCTTATTTTAAAAGGAAGCTAATGATTTCGATTTCACCCTGTATACTATGTTTTTATAACCCATTTTCATGATCTAAGTGGAATATAACGGCTTTGGAATGAAACGAATCGATTGCGATAAAAAAAATCTTACATAGTGTATTTTGACGACCTCTGTGGCCCAACCCTTTGTAGTGTGGGCGTTGGATGAGGAGATCTCGGGTTCGTTTTTCGATCTGTGTGCTCCATAATGAATTTCATTGCACTTGTACCTACTTGTAATAGTGGTAATTGGTGTGGTTTTCTGGCAGATTTTTTTATATGAAAGAAATAAGTGCACGTTTGAATTACATCTCGCCTGATGTAAAGTGCCAATGAGGTCGGCGATAAAACATGCACTCCTACATAATACCTATTCACTCTCACCTTCACAAGGCCTAAGTTATAGCGTTCAAGGAATAAGCCTGCAAGTAGGGAATTCCACTTCAAAGCCGTTCGCTATATAAATGTGGAAGCGTAACGCTTCGTGTGAATCATTGTAGTATCTACAACTTAGGAGTGGAAGCCCAGCCTACATCTAGTCCCCCGATGATGGAAAGGGGAAGGTGGAATTAAATTGTGCAATTCCATCGCATACTCCGTAATATACATATGGAGTATCGATAAGCAGGCAACTTCACTGCACCTTTAGTTACTTTATTATATCATTATTATTAGATGAAACTAATACAATAATAATAATAACGCAACACACTCATAGCCCCGCACTAGGGAAACCCTGTGTCGCGGGTGCTATGGACATACGCATAGACAACCACAAATGACACCCAAACTCACGAGAGAAATAAATGTAGGCCATATATATACTCTTCTCGGCCTGGGAATCGAACCCAGGACCTCTGTGTGGCAGGCATGGTAACCGTTCGGCCACGGAGGCAATAATGTGATCAGAGTACACACTTGAAAGTTACCAGTTTCCACCACCAATGGATCTCGCAAGCAGAGGATACTAAAACTCTTTCACACTACTTTGCAGCGTTTAACTATTGTATAAACAATAGGTATTTCATTATTGTGCATGAAATTATAAAAAAAACGTGCCTTGACCGCTTTTATTATAGGTTTGATTCGATCTTTAGGATGGCACAAAATATTTGTCTGATTTACCTAATTAAATATATAATCGTAGATAATATTCAATGTCATAATGTAATAAGCTTGGATCATATTAGTAATTATCATAATTAGAATATAAGGTGAAGGTTAAAGATAAGACTCGAGATACTCGATAATGTTGGCATTATTTCCAAAAATAGTAACCGATAAGCTCGATATTGTCTAAAGGTCTATAATCAGTTTCTTGTTATTGTTACGTTTTAATCTTGTTTTAATAGAATATAGCAGCCGCGACATGATAGCAATTTTAGGGTCGTATTCCAGAACTCTACTCAATGCTCAAGTCAGGATTTGAGCAGACTCGAGTATGATTCCAAGCACTGGAAATACGACCCTAATGGCAAGGACTTGAGTATGATTTCTAGTGCTTTGAATCATACTCAAGTCCTGACTGAGCATTGAGTAGAGTTCTAGAATACGACCCTTAGATTATTATCATGAAGTCTGTGGCTATAGCTTTTTGCTTTATGGTTTCTTTGGCTGTTGAAACGTTGAAAAAAATCGCTAGTTCGCTAAATCGCACCTATAAAATGACGAAGTATTTAATTTAACTATTAACTTGATTTTAATTAGTGTAATATTTAAACGTGTTTTAGTGTAGTTTTATGTTACACACATGCAACAAAAATGCAATATAATTATGGCTGCACCTACCGGTGAATGCACGCGTTGCGGAAAGGTACACTTGTGAGGAGGAGGAGGAGGGTACTTCGTCAAAAAATAGGGTTGATTCTAATCTATTTTTCCACTAAATCTGAGATTTTCTAGATGATTACTTAACAGCTCTTTTGTGGTTATTTAAACGTATAAATTAAATTTAAAAATTGTTAATTACTTCATTTAATAAGTGCAAACTTGCCGTTACATATATTTGAGATACTAGTTATTTCGAGTTTTTAGGTTTTCGCGATTGCTACACATTGGAAACATAACGTCCCAGTACTTTTTAAAAAGCGCTAACAAATACCTTAACGAAAATAACTATTGCGAGACTATGCTATTTTTGGAACACGCTCGGTCCAGCAATTGTTTATTTACTGTTCTCTGCCATAATGGACATGGGCAAGCTTGAAACTAAAGATTAAAAAAGAACGGTCGAAAATCCAGTGTCAAGGTTGATGTGCTCTAGACTGTGCTATTGAAGTTTAAGAAGATTGTATTTCCACTGTACAGTTTTGGAACAAATAGAGTAAAAGCTTTTTCGTTATTATAGAATTTTCTTAATTTACTTGTATTTGTGTCTAGCACGATAGATATTGAACATAATATATTCAGGACAGTAAAATAGAGTTGCATCGTACGCCATTTTTAATTATTTACAGTTGGTATTTCACGTTAATGAAAGGTTTGGTTTAATTTCTATAGTGTTATTAAGACTTAATAAATAACACTAATAATTGAAGTTAAAATAAATAGTTTAACGACTTGATCCTTAGTTTTATTTCGGAAAATACTTTTGTATTATCGCACCGTTAAAACAATAGTGTATTAGGCTCAACTCACACCAAAAGCGCGGCGAAGGGCAGCGAAGCGAAGCGCGGTTTGAGTGTCATTTGAATTTTTACTTTATTCTCATTACTATAATATTTATTTTCGCATGAGAAACTCGAACGAGTCGAGCTAATGCCCGCGGCGCCGCGGGACTTCCCGCGAATTCCATGAACGGAGTCGTGCGACTGCGCGAGAAGGCGCGGGAACTCCCGAGAATGCTCTAGCAGTAGCGAGCGGCCGCCGGCAACATCCCGCCACTCGCGCCCGCTCCCCGCGCGCGTCTGTTGCGAGCGCGCGAGTATTCGCATTCATTCCTTGCAGTGCGTTGAATACAGAAGTGATGGAAATGGATGAAGAAAAGCTTATTTATTTAGTCCAAATGTACGACTGCCTATACAATATAAAATCAAGACATTACAGCGATAAACACATAAAAAATAACGCTTGGCAAAAAGTAGGCGCTGAAATGAATATGTCTGGTATGTATTCGTTTAATAATTTTTATTCGAAAATTAAAATAAAACATTTTTACGGCCTGTCCAGGAGGGCGAATTCGCCACGTATGATTTTACGTGCGTAGGATTTGCGACGAATTCGCCCGTCTGGACCAACATTTTAATTACAATAAAAAAAAAACTCTAAATTGTTGCGATGACGTCAGGAAATCGTAGAACTCGTTATTTTACATAGGGCGCAGTATTTTGTAAAGCTTTACACCATTTTGTTGTTAAATCTATTTAACTACGAGAAATCATTTCGTTTTGCCAAGAAACGGCACCACAAGAATTAAAATAAGTTTTAAATTTATCTCTTATACACATAGCATTTTCTCGGGAAACAGTATTCTCTTCAAGATTTTGTAATATACTATTTATTGGCACTGTTTCAATTATGTTCTCAAATATTTCATCATTTCTTAGATAATTATGCAAACAAGTGCACGCTAGTATCATAATGTCCAGGTATTTGGGTTGCATTCTAATTCTCTTTTGAAAAATCTCAAATTTTTGTGTTAGTATTCCGAAACTGCTCTCTACAATACGTCTTGCAAGGCTTAGGCGATAGTTAAATATTTTCTTCTCGGCGTCTGTCGACACTTGGCTTCCAGGAAAAGGTCTCATTATGTGTTCATGTAACGGGAAAGCCTCATCTCCAACAAAAACATGTGGCAATGCTTCTGTCGTACCTGGCAAACATTTATTAGGTGGTATATCCAGTGTATTATTATTCAATGATTGTCCTAATTTGGAGCTGCTTAAAATGCCACTATCACTATTGCGACCGTATGCTCCAATATCGACTACAATGAATCGGTAATTTGCATCAGCTACGGCTAACAAAACTACACTGAAAAATTTTTTGTAGTTGTAAAATTGACTGCCACTGTTCCAAGGTGGTCTTATATTAACATGTTTGCCATCTATGGCTCCTATGCAGTTAGGGAAATTCCATTGAGTTTCAAATTCTTTTGCTAGTTTGGTCCATAGCTCAGCTGTTGGTTTTGGCATAACTCGCGGCCGTAAATACTTCCATATCGCGGAACAAGTTTCGTGAACAATTACAAGTACAGTACTATATCCCATTCGATACTCGTGAGCTAGCGCTTTGAAACTGATAGCAGTAGTTAAAAATCTGAAACAAAATATAATTATTATTACCAGATATACACATATCGACAAATTAAGAGTAACAGCCCCGGTAGTTTGTCTACTTTAGTCCGTGTGTATAAATTATTATTTAGATTAATATGTTACCATTATTAAAACCATAATAAGATTGTTATATTAATAATTACATAACTATAATTTTCAGTGGAGGATTGCCAAAAGGCTTGGAAGAAATTACGAGATAGTTACAGAAAGGGCGTTTCATTAAGAGAGAGTAGAAGTGGGTCAGCTAGGACAGTAGAACGCCCATTAAAATTTGAAAAAGAGTTAGAATTTATAAAACCTTTCATGAAAAGCAAACAACAAATATCAAATTTAACGAGTTCGCCAGAAGATTCAGATATTACCACAGATGACGAATATCAGTCAATGTCACCAAGACCGCAGTCGCAGCCGTCACCACGGCCACAGTCACAGCTTTCAAACCGGACTACTTCACCCAACGAACAGCCTTCCAAAATGTCAAATTTATTGTTAAAACAATATATTGAAAGAAAGCAAATAGAAGATGACCCAACCATTAGTTTTTTCTTAACTATGGGCCGAACTGTGAAAACAATGTCTAAAAATATTCAAGCCAAATTAAAGGGCGAAATTTTCCGCCTTATAAATGAAACGGAAATAAGACTTGCCGATGACACCGGTGGTAACATGACACGTGATACAGCTGAATTCAACTTATCTGCCAAAGGAAATAATACAACCATGCCATCTATTTCAAAGTATCCGTTGGAAACAACCAGTATCAGTCCTAGATCTGTGACAGAAAATTACAATGAAACAAATATTCCAACCACAACCTTTTCATACACACCATTGACTTACAATTATAATACACACCATCAATAATACCGGCTGCAGAAAAAACATCTATTACATCTTTTTCATACAAACCATCCAAAATACCGTCAACTTCAACAAGTTATCAAGAAACGAACCCAGAAAATATCTACGAGACAAACTCCCCGATTAATTCAAACTTAACTTCCAGATCTAGTTCATTCGATCCATCTCCGTCGCCTTATATACCACACGCTATATCGAAATCACAACAAAGATCCTCTGATTCTGTATTGCGTGAAGAGGATTACGAAACCAATATCGATATGACATTTGACTTTTAAAGAACTGTTGCCTAAATTTTTTAATTAATTAATATATAAATAAAATTTTTAATTATTTTTTTGTTAGAATTGTGTATTTGAACAATCAATAAATATTTCAGAATCATATAATATTTTTTATTTATTTACTCACCTGAGGCAGACTGATAGTCTTTCTTCAGCGGAAATAGCCAATCTATAATTGGTATTTTGTTTTTGAATATGTGGCCTGAGAATTTTCAACAAACTTTCAAACTTGTCATAGTTCATTTTATAATAGTCATAATGAATGCTAGGATACATATGTAAATTTGTGCAAAATGTTTGAAATTGGCCAAACAAACGTCTTTTCTTCCAAAGGTCGTGTTCCCAAAAGTTTCTTTTTCTCATTATCTCTTCGGCTTCTTCCTCTTCAATTATATGTGCAATAATGATTAAATCCAAAATACCCATTTAACTGCTTAAACACAAGTTTCCTCTAGTTTTGTTGAAAGTTAACTGCGCTAGGAGAGCGGCCCGTGAATTCATCGCGGGCGGGCTCGAAAAGGCGCGCGGAGTCCCGCGACTTCGCGAGCATTCCAGCGAATTCTCGAGCAGTCGCGGGAATCCACGCGCGTTCTCTACCGAGCGGGTCGCTGCGCTTCGCTGCCCTTCGCCGCGCTTTTGGTGTGAGTTGAGCCTTATCCAAAAGTGTATTGTTTCAGAAATAATGAAAAACGAATCTTGCTCATTTCTCGTCAAGGGTTATTAAAGTTTATGTACAGGTTAAAGTTAGGTTTATTACGGACGTTTAAACAATTTCTTATTTGCCAAATGTATAAAAAAATATAAGGTAAAAAGTAATTTCATATTTTTGACTGTTTTGTTTTTTTTCATTCAGAACTAGCTCATATTAAGTTTGTGTGATTTTGAGTTAAGTAGATTTATTTTAATTATTTTTTTACAACAGTAACGACGATTTTGCTGACGTGTAGAGAATCAAAGTTTACGTTCAGTAATGGAATAATCTTGAATTTCACGTGTTTTGAGTTTAGCAGTGCGGTATGCTAAAATTAATTGTCCGTGCTATTCAAAAGTTTTTGGGAGGAGCTCGGGGTGGCTTACGCACCAGCACGTTGTTGCAAATGCTCAAAAGGCGCTGGTAGGCCTTTTCAAATTATAATAATAATGCACACACTCATAGCCGCGCTAGGGTAACCCTGTATCGCGGGTCAAGTAACCACAAATTACATTTACAAATTACAACCACAAACTCCGAGAGAAATAAATATAGGCCACAAAATACACACATTTCTCCTGGCCCGGGAATCGAACTCGGGACCCTGCGTGGCAGTCCAGTGTGGTTACCGTTCGTCGACAGAGGCAATTATAGGCAAATTAAATAGTACAGTAGTGGTTACAAATAGTGCGGTAGGTAGTGTTATAGGTACAGATTATTAGCTACTACGTCTAGGTGGAAAATCGGTACCTAGTATAGTTACAAGCACATCATGCTCCAAAAAAATAAAATAAAAATGTTTTCGAGCACTTCATGCTTGACACAGGACTTTGGATCGTTCTTATTGCAAGCGAGATAAAGTTGAATTTAAAATTTCATTGTCAACTTTGACGTGCTCGTGAATCTGTCGAATCCAGAATTTATCTTATACCGAACAGCGGCCTTGTTACAGGCGTGTACTCGTATACAGAACGATCCAATTATTTAAATCTTAGAATCCAACCAGAAAATATGAAATTTGCTTTGTGTTTGTTGAAAAATGCTTATTGCAACGGTATTTGTGACGGAAATTTAGAGGAGTTAATTTCTGTCTCTAATTATTGTATATCAAGTGAATACCTCAATGATGGTAACAGAAGAGATAGATTTACTCTCGGATCTAAAAAAGATATAACGAATAAGATTAAAGAAAGTAGTTAATATACAGTGACAAAAACTTTCAAAATTACAATCGATCGATTACAGAAATACGGTTTTACAGGATCATAATAATCTCTATTTCATTACGTTTGTGTATTGTAGTAGTTTGTGGTCCTCATTGTCCTGTCTTGTCCGCTCATCTAACTTTGTGGTCTGGCTTTGTGTATTGTATTTTGACAAAATAGATTTATTTTTGTTCGTCTGCTTTCATTGCGAACACGACCGTAAATTAATACAAAAAATAATGTCTGTTTACTACAATATAAACTTGAAAGTTTTTAAGTTTTAAATTGGTGTTTTCTGAAAAATTAGACTGTAATTGTCATACTTTTTGAACCTACTATGGAAAACGAATTTAAATTGTTTCACTGCCGCTTTTGTTCAGAAGAGAAACAATACCGGGACTTGTTAGACCTTTCACAAGATGAAGAAACTATGGAAGAAATGATAAATGCAACTGTTGATTTAAAAATCGATTATTTAAATCTAAAAGATAGATTTCTACCTAAAACTGTGTGCGAAAAATGTTATTCAAGTTTTATAAAGGCGCACAAGTTCTTCAACAAGGTAAAATGTAGCCAGGATGTACTGAAATCTAAATATAATTTGAATTATGTTGATATTAAAGAAGAAAATGAAGTGATTGATGACCATAGTCCTGTAGTACCACTAAGTCCAAAATGCGAAGGTCCACAACCTCTAAAAATGGACATAGGCGCTCAGAGGCCAATAGAGATCCTAATCTGTAATAAACAAGAAATTGATATTGAATCCAATAAAGAAACAGTTCAAAGTTTTGATGCTACTTGTGAAAGTCCAAATAATGAAAGTCCGATTCTTGAAAATCCACATAAATCTCAAGACTTTGTAGATGATGATGTTATTCATTCTTATGATGACAATGACAATGAATCATCGTTGGATTCTGTCAACCCAGATGATAAACTAGTAAAAATTAACAAAAAGACATCAACATGGAAGCACAAGAAATGTCACATGAAGTATGACATGTTAGAATTCTTTTCTTATGCTGGTGTACCAATATTCAATGAAGAGGAAATTAAAAGTAGTAACTCGGAATCATCTGATATGGACACCGGTCATTCAAACCCCAAAACGGTAGTAAAACAGATGGATAAGTCCTGGACAAGTTACAAATGGTATTGCTTCCATTGTACTGAGAAATTTAAATCTATTGAAGAGTTACGTAGTCATAGTAAAATGGTGCATGACGTTTGTTTTGGATACAGTTGTGCCGATTGCAATTATGTTTTGATGAATACTTATAATTCCTTTATTGAACATGTCAGACAACATAGAAGCGTGTTGAGGTAAGAAAATTTTTTATTGTTATGTATGTCAGTGTTTCCACTGTAAACGTAAAAGTTAGGGTTAATGTAAGTACCTACAGTGCTTCTTCTTCTTATCATGTTAATGGAACTATAATGCTTGCCATAGTTGTGAAAGAATCGGTCAATCAGCACACGATACTCGCCAATGCCCAGGGTGCATTAGACATACAGGAAAGGAATGATGCGTTGTTCGGGCAACTTTACAGTTCTCTACAGTGTGTAGCACTACAAGCTCTAGCACTGAGTAGAAAAGGTATCAGGTTGCTGACTAAATGCCTTAGGGTACTGTGGCTTGAACAAGCACATCTCTGGTCTTAGCCAGTGCAGAGAGTTCAGATCTTTCCACAAGGTGGATGAAGCTCTTCTACACCTTACCTAATGCTGCATTTTGAAGGGCGTGCGAAGCTCCATACTTGGAAGGCTGAGGCCACAACCGAAGGACATCACATCTGTCGAAGCCAGCGAAATCCTTCAGTTTTTTAACAGACCTTGGCTCTGAATTGTAATTACTGTTGAACATAATAGATTCCTTAATGGTTGCAGTTATGAAGGGCAGCATGAGCCCTGAATAAAGCTACCCTAATAATAATAATTTGCAGCGGTTTGATTTCTGTGGAGTGTCGCATCCAGCACAAATGCAGATAGGGATCCTGCTTGATATAGCGCATATTGTTTGCAGGTTCTTGAATTTGAATCCCTGACCCGGCCAACTGTGCCATTACCATTCCCCGGTATTCCTCCTTTCCCATTTAAAAATTCAAAAATAGTCTTGTAGGTTATGGGAGAGGCGAGATAGATGTCCAAACAGTTGAACACATGAAGATATATTGATGTACACATTGCATTTTGAATAATTTTGGTAGCAGCTCCTTGTGAAAGAGTTTATCCGGGGAAGTACTGCCACCTTACCTATTTCTGCCGCCAAGCAGTAATGTGAAGAATACTGCGTTCCGGTTTCGAAGGGTAAGGATGCTGGTGAATTTACAGGCACCTAGGACTTGTCAACTTATGTCTCAGGGTGTCGGGCGCAAAAATAAAAAAATTAAATCATGTTTATTTCGTAAATAAGAAAATTACACTTGAAATCGTTATATTGATAGATAGATAGATAGATAGATAAAACGTTTATTGTCTTGTATCACACACACAACAATATAATGCAGTAAATTGATTAAGAGACACACAACAATATAATACAGCAAATTGATTAAGAGACACACAGAAACCAAATTTAAAAAGGAAAAAAAAAAGCATAAAAACATAATACTAATCTAATTATAACAGCTGTGTGTGTGTGCTAAAGCAAGCCAAATAGGTCGTGGCTCAGTGCAAAATTTGCTCACGAGCAAGGCACTGATTTTCAGCCACCACCTTCGAGGGTAGCGCGTTGCGGTGCATCAAAAACAAAAACATTGTGAGGTGAATGTAGCGTGCATATGTTAGCATCACGTAAGAATTATGTACATTATAAAATATTAATAAAAAAATAGTAACTGTAAAAAATTAAAAAATAAAAATTTAAAAAAATAGTAATACAAATTCATAATTGGTATAATTAAAATAAAATAATAATAATAATCAGTACTTAATATCGATGAAAGCCATTGTAACACAAAATGATGATAATAAATGTCCAAGAAGCAAGGGGACTTCATTCTAGAAGCCTCCGCTATGTAAAGCGTTTAGGAATACCCAGTTTTTGCCTATCAAAAATAAATTCCCTCAAATGTTTTTTAAACGTAAACTTAGTTTTAAGGAGTCTAAGCGGGGGTGGAATATTATTCCAACATTTCGTTGCTTGATAGCGGAAGCTTCCAGTAAAGGCCACAGTGCGATGAATTTGTCCCGCCAACAGAGGTCTCACGGTTCTAATAGAAAATTTGTCGTGAAAAGTGGAGAACTTTAACTTTCCATACAAGTACTCTGGTTTTTGGAACTTTATCACGCCAAACAGCATACACGCGAGATGTAGATGTCTTCGCGAGTCCATATTTAACATGTTTGCATTGTTTAAATATGGCGTGATGCGGCTGCGAGGCGGGATTCTGAAGCAAAACCGACAACAAGCATTTTGTACACGTTGAATCAGGTGTTGTGTTTTACTCAACAAACGAGGACCGTAAAGTATATCTCCGTAATTAAGTTTGGAAAGGATCAGAGATTCGCAGATGGTAATACGAGCATGCTCACTTAAATATTTACGTATTTTGTATAATATTTTAAGACGATAAAAGCAGTTCCTAACTTGATCTAGTACGTGACTTTCAAAACGTAATTGACCATCAAGTGTAATGCCAAGATTCTTTGCCTCTGTTACTCGAGCCACATCAATACCCGCGATCTCGATATGTGGATCTTTGTCTACGATGTTGCTGATTTGCTTTTTGTTATTGTTATTGATTTTGATATTGATTAAACTCTCCCGCTAATTAGTAAGGCAGATTTCTCTGAAAATAATGAGCAAGAAACTCTAGGGGTTGCTCTTTGTTAATATACATTTGACTACATTTATCATTTACAACGTTTATTTCAAACATCTTGCATTGAGAATATCTGCAAGAGCTAAACGGGCCTGTAAACATTTAGTACAAAGTTTTTGTTTCAATATAATTTCGAATCTCGTAAATGGCAAATTTTGAATATCAACTGGAATCTTATTATAGAAGCGTATACATTTCCCCTTAAATGAATTTGAGACTTTGTGAAGACATGACGACTGTCAAGAACATCTAGTTTGTTTTTATTCCTTGTATTAATGTATTCCTACATTATGTATCCTTGTATTGTCACTATTTTTCATTTAAAAAGTACTATTCTTTTTAACTTAAATTACATGGTATCAAACTAGGGAATTTCTCGTACTATCAGCAAAGTCGACGCATTACCACCTTTAAGGGTGCTTTTTGCGTGCAGGCAAGGGGTTTAGGCAAATACACTCTCCCCATTGTAATCTCTGACTTAAAAAGAATATGTATATAGTATAGTATATTTTTTTTTAAATCAAAGCACATGTTATCTGTTTCAGATTATATTGCCAATATTGCAACCGCAAATTCAAGAGTAAAACAGAGTGTGAAAAACATTCGTATGAGCATTGGCAAGCTGATAAGATTTGCGATTTATGTGGAGAGCTTCTACCTGATCAAGGTATACCTACTGCGTTATTGGTTATTTTGTAATCATTTCTTTATACTCAGTTGTATTCTAGTGCTCTTTAAAGCAACATATCGGTGACGCCGCGGGCAGAGCGTCTGAATTGGTCTGAATTATGGAATGTTTGACGAAACTATTCAAATGGCGTTAGCATCACTGACAGTGACGTTGTTATCGGTGTTATAGATATAGTATAGGGTATCTATATACTAAATCTATATGGTGTTAGTGATATGACAGTCAATCAACTTTTTTTGAATACATTGAACATGTGTTAATATGTTCAATGTATTAAAAAAATGTTATTTACATAGATAAATTTAATTCATTTTGAGTAACATTACAAGACCTTATACTATTTCATAGTAAAAAAAACACAAGGTTTTCAGTCTTACTACATTTCCGCCTCCCGGGAAAAAGGGACTTGACGATTTCAGACGTAGGTGCGTGCGTGCGTGCGTGCGTGCGTGCGTGCGTGCGTGCGTGCGTGCGTGCGTGCGTGCGTCCGTGCGTGCGTGCGTGCGTGCGTCCTGTCTTACAAGTCCAAGTCATGTGAACTAATTATAATTTTAGTAATTGTTTATTACATGTTTCAGATTCGCTTTTGCGTCACACCAAGCTGTACAAGCGCATACGTTTACCGAGAAGCGCGGTCAGAGTGCGCCCTGAACTAGTACGTGGGGAAGAAGACAAGACATGGAAGGACTATCATTGGACTTGTCAGGTAATATTTCTCTCTTTTATAATTTATAACTAGGCAGAATGTCGATTCCTTACCGAAGCGCGGCAAATGTATAAAAAAGTAAATACTTTTAATTATTAATACAAAGATTGAACACTCAGAAAAAATTCCTTCGATCCGGCCGGATTCGAACCGACGTCTTCTAGCATACCGTGGAAGACGCTATACCAACTAAGCCACGGAACGAGCCAGCGGACCTCACGAAATTTTTTCTTGTGGCGCCATCTATGAGAAATCTTTGAAAGTTTTATCACCCGGTTAGATACCTTTACAGCTACCGGCCCTGGCGAGAGATGTCGCTATTCACTGTATTTTAAATTTTTATTGAATTGATATTCAATTATTTTTTGTGAAATTACTCCACTAGTTTGTTATAATTATTAATACAAAGATCGAACATTTAGAAAAAATTTCTTCGATCGATTCGTCGACTAAAAAGTCGTTGAAAAACCAAAATACAAAGACACGACAACAAGCACATAGAAAAATTCGTGAGGTCCGCTGGTTCGTTCCGTGGCTTAGTTGGTATAGCGTCTGGCACTGTATGCTAGAAGACGTCGGTTCGAATTTTAATTCATTTGTGGTGCGAGTACCAACTCAACACCTGTCGACCTTCATGAGAGAAGACTTTTGGCCGAAGGGTGTCATATACCGGCGTTTCCGAGGACGGCTACCGGACACTCACGTTGCGTCACACGTCGAAGTACATACGTGTAAATAAATAGTGTTATATGTATATTATCATGTTATATTGTATTTATGATTAGTCCGTAAGGTATTTATTTAATATTTCTGTTATTGTTTTATTATATTATTGTTATATTATATGTATGTTAGTCTGTAAGGTATGTATCTATGGGTCCTAGTTGCCTGAAATAAATAAATAAATAAAATAAATAAACATAAGTTTCTACTGTAAATTAGGATTGTAGTGTCACTGTTTTCGTTTGTACTTGAAAGAACTATGGAATATATAATATTCTAGGACTGCTACATGCGTCACCCGGACGTGGATTCTCTCCGCTCGCACGTGCAAACAGTCCACAATAAATGCTATGCAATTAAATGCATGGATTGCCTTCGTGCGATCGACAACTTTAGACGGTTTGTCAGCCACGTCCACATTCACAGACCGCATCTCAAGTGAGTATCTTGCCTTGCCTACAAAGATCGCTATTGTATTGTATGTCTGTACTTGCGAGTAGCATACAGACCGAATGTCTGTATGCTGCTTTAAAATGCCATCATCAGTCACAGCCACATCCAGTTCCTTGACCTTTTTACAGCTGCTCACATTGGAATTCTTCTTTTTATTTGCTCTCTGTACGCCAGTCTTGATCTTCCCCTATATATCTTTTTCTTTCTATTTTCTCTTCAAATGTAACTTTTATAAATTCGCTATGTAACAGGATGTATAAAATAGTTTCCCCTTCTGTTATCTATTTTCCGAAAATACCATAAAGTAACGAAATATATCAATTTCAGAGACTATTGCCACTATTGTGACGTCCATATCACAGACGAAGCCGCTATGAAACAGCATCTCAACGACCACGAAACTGGAGACCGAAGACCCTGCCACGGTTGTGGGCAAATATTCAAGGACAACGCAGAAATGTCACGTCACATGAAAGAATACAATGCTCAACGCTGTGTACGAATCTTGACAACAGAAGACTTGACTTGTCATCAGTGTCACAAGTATTTCAAGAGCATCGGAAATCTGAAAATACATATGAGAGTTCACAGTAATATTTCTGCTCCGGTCCATATGTGCCATTTATGTGGAAAGCATTTCCAAGCACCGAGTATACTTAAACATCATATGGAGTGCCACAATAATAAGATCCACGTGTGCCATATCTGTGATAAGGGTTTCAGTACTGTCCTCGGTTTAAAAAAGCATGTTAACACTCATTCAACTGACCGTCCATTCTCATGTAACGAATGTGGGAAATGTTACCGGTTGAAAGAGCAATTGAAGAGACACATTATAGTGCATAGTGAAGTGAATCCGTACAAGTGTTCATTTTGTGAGAAACAGTTTAAGTTCTCCAGTAATTGGAAGAATCATGAACGTCAGCATACAGGTGCTAGGCCATACGAGTGCAAGGTTTGTGATAAGACGTTTTCTAACTACTCAAACTGCGATAAACATATGAAACGGAAACATGGTATGACTATATGCAAGCATAAGAACACTGATCATGGTAAGATGGAAATAAATCAACAGACAGGGGAAATAAAAAGCCTGGTTACAAATAAGGAGACACAGCAGTGGCTCGATGATTTGATGAAATCGAACAAAAGGTCAGGAGGACGAAAAAAGAAAGTAGACAAAAGTCAGTAAATTATAAGACTTATGTTGTCAACATGTCTTAATAAGGGTTGTTGCTGATGCAGGTTTTATACACATCGGTGGACGCTGATGCGGATGCTGATTTTTTGTCGTAACATCAACACGAAAAATGTACATCCTGTACAAATGTAAATCTTCATGAAAACAATTAATCTTAAATGTGTATTGAATTGATATTCAAAATTTTTTTTTTAATTACTCCACTAGTTCGTTATAATTAATTAGTACAAAGATTCGAACCGACGCGACGTCTCCTTGCAAACCGTGCCAGACGCTATCCCTACTAAGCATAACTTTCTTAGTATTAATAATTATAACAATTAATCTATTTAGCGGAATTTTATGAAAGTTAAATTTTAAAAACAACAGCTGAGCTGCTTATTCGGCGTACAGCCTGTTTCTGGAAGGTTTGTAAATTATTCTAGCGTGCTTTTTAGGTCATGTTACGACTCGGAACATCCGCAATTATTATCACCATCGATGAAAGCGGATGCTGATGCGGATATTTTAATTCATGCAGATTATCCGCGGATGCGGATGCTGATGTTGATATTCGCAACAACCCTAAGTACCGGTCGAAATAAGCTCATTGGTTATTGAATTTCTGTTGATATCAATATTTTTGATGATTGTCGCAAGATCAAGGTATGACGTCTTATTATTTGCCTGATATTCCGGAAATATTAATCGCTCCAAAATCACAGGTTGATTAACAGTTAACTCGTTCATGCGTATACATATACGCTCCAAGGTTACGGATTTAATAACAGCCAATTTGTTCACTCGTACACGCTCCAAGGTCACGGGTTAGTATGAGAAAAATAATAAGACGTCATACCGTAGGGTCGGTCGTAAGAAATTTGTAGCTAGTGGCAATCATTTCATCAAACATCAAAGTCTTAAAATTAATGTTTGTGGCGTTACTTGAAAAAATTCTCTTGGTCTTTGAAAATTCCGGAACAGACTACAAGCGCAATCGTTAGACAGCTAAATCTTAATTGTCACGTTCTAGTCGGCCATTCTCAGATTCGGTGTTCTCAGCCTAATTAACGTAGCCATTTTGGCGTCCTCAGCCTAATTACGTAGCCATTGTTTTTTCTAGTTTAATATACCCAATAGCATTGAAATATGAACAACTTTAAGCTTAACTATCAATATGTCTATATGGCTTTAGAATAGACAAAGTAGTTTTCTAGTTATTAAGACACAAAATAAATGTTTTATGAAAACGGTAATTGGATCTAATTACCGTAGCCACGGATACTATTTTTCCGGATTTAAATCGCGTATACTTGTATTTTCAAACAAACCAACGTTTCGGGCCATTTACAGGTCCCATGATTACGGTTGACTGAGGTGGTGCAGTCATCAACCAGTTATGTCTAATATTAATGCATACCACTCCATTTTTTCAATTATTACATATATACCTTTTTTTTTATTTACAAAGAAACCTTCCAATTTACGCTACATTTTACAAATTATATTATTGTAACAATATGAATTTTTATTACTTAGTTAAATTTATTATTAATTAATAATGGAATTTACTATTTGTATATTTTACTACATTTGGTGTATTTCTACTAATACAAGTGCCATTAAAGATTTTTTGAAAAAATTTAAAGTAGGTTTCTTAATATTGGGTTAGAGATAATGGTTAAAAATTACTACAATTTTTTCTTATGGTTAATCACAGCTGTTACAAGAACAGATTAATATATATAATTTAAAAACCTTAAAAGTTTAAAAAAATAGTTTGTCGGTGTAATTCAAGTCATTACAAAAAATGAAGAAAATTAAAATCGACGTTATTTATGTGGGGATCAGGAGGACTTCAATCAGGACCATGATTTGTTGATATAAATATCCTTTTTATTTCTAGAAACAACTTTACATAAAAAACAAGTAACTTAAGTCTTTTCGCAATTCTTAGCACACGTCCTCTCTCTTCTGTCTTCTCGTTCCAACCACACCATCTTCATTCATTCTTCTCTCAAATACTCACTCATACCATCTCACTCTTTCGCCCGTTCCGATAGTACTTAAGCATGTCATCTTATTCCCCATCACGTTGGGATACCCTTTCTTACCAATCCCACATTTATATGTTGTATAGTGGTTCTTTATATTTGTTTTTGTTTTCTTAAAAATGTTTGAACTTTCTAATTACCGTTTCCAAAAAATATTTGTGTCGTAATAGCTCGAAAACTACTTTGTCTATTCTAGTGCCATTTAGACTATTGATAGTTAAGTTTACAGTTGTTTATATTTCAATGTTATTGCGTATATTAAGGGAGAAAATACAATAGTTACGGTAAGTAGGCTGAGGACATCGAAATGGCTACGGTAATTAGGCTGAGAACACCTAATGTGTGAATGGGCGTAGTGTGTAACGCATACTTACACAAGTAACTGAAATATTTAATAAAATGTAAAATCGTTCGTATAGCCATTTTGAGTTTTATTTTTATCAATATAAGTTGCCTATGAAATATATTGTCCATATTAATAGTAGTTATTGAACAGAATGTCTTATGCTTGAAATTGAACCACTTGCGACCACTCGCGCTATACAATGCAAGTGTGTGCCTTATTCCAGCGTGACCATGGTCGAGTTTTGGAAATTTGAGTAGCCAAAATTATGTGCATGTGTGCGTCCGTGGGTGGCGTGCACGCCATGCACACATAAGCCGCGTTGCTGTTTGTATGGAGTGGAGTTACACTATTTACCCGTATTCTACTATGATAAAACGGTGAGTGTGCGGATGGGATTGCATGATTACATTCCGTTTTCCCCTTTCATCGAGACTTGATACAAATGCTGTGGATATTTCAAGGATCGCGAAGCGTTCCACTAAATCTATAACCTCCGATGACGTCACTAGTGCTATTTAGGGTCGTATTCCAGAACTGTACTCAATGCTCATGTCAGGATTTGAGCAGACTTGAGTATCATTTCAAGCACTGGAAATACGACCCTAATGCCAAGGACTTGAGTATGATTATACTCAAGTCCTGACTTGAGCATTGAGTAGAGTTCTAGAATACGACCCTCAGTCTTGGGAAACCTTTGGTGCTAAAGCGATTGATTAAATCAACCGACCGAGACCGTAAGAAGCCGGGAAATGTCAATACAGTAAAATAATACCAGAATAAGAGAAGAGAAGAGAATTAAGTCCTTTGATTACGTCGACATTTAGACGGTGAACGGCTGGGTGAATATTTGACAATTATTTATTTTGTTAGAAACATTTTTTTTT